CCAGTCCTGCACCATCCTCACAGTCATTGCTGTTTGAACCCATTATTCAAACTATGACTAGATTACTATAATTCATTTGTTTTTGTCAAGTTTTTTCACTTATCACACACCTGTTGCCATTGAGTTGATTGGGACTCTTAACGACCCTATAGAACAGAGTTAGAACTGCCCGATAGGGTTTCCTAGGCTGTACTCTTTATGGAGGCTGACTATCATATCTTTTTTCTGAGGAAGAGCTGGTGGGTTCGAACCACCAGCATTTCGATTAGCAGCCAAGCGCTTAACAACTGCACCACCAGGGCTCCTTATTTATGACAGAAACAATATTATATCGCAAGTAAAGAAAAGACAACCATCTGATCACCTTTTACAATGTATTGGCTTGATTTTTAACCTTCCCTGTATACTCTTCTAATCTTTGTTCATATTGACACACTTGAAATAGTTATAATTATGATATTGATATAATCTTTATTTTCACGATCATATTTTCATAAACACTTTTCCATTTTGCTAATTTCCATACTCTAATTTTAATGGCTGCATAATTTTTATCTAATTAATGATCACAATTTCCTTAAAATTCCCATATTTCTGAATATTCAATTTTTTCTGTGTGATTACCTGTCAAAGTGTATGAATATTTTTATTACACATGCTCCGTATTTTCATATCACTTTCCATTTTTATCACAACCACACCAAAGTAAAAATTTTCACTGCATGGTTGCTTTAGTTTGCATTTCTTTAATTAGTGAAGTTGCTTTATTAACTATATTTCTTCTTCTGAATTGGCTTGTCATATTTTTTCTAATTTACTTCCTAGGGTCTTGATTTAAAAAAATAAGTTTCAGTGGATTTTTAATATACTATAAATACTTGTTGTACTTGGTTCTAACATTTCCCAATGTGATTTAGTGTTCATTTGTTTTGTTATTTTATATGTTTAACAATTTTAACTTAGTCTTATCTGGTTTGTCTGTTTCTGATTCATTTTTGATGAATGTTTTCCAACTTAAAAAAAAAAGTTACAGTCAAAGATACTAAAAAAGTACTGAAAAAGCTAATGGAAGATTGTTTCTCTTTAGGTAGTGTTAGAAGATAAATTGTTACATCAAACATGTCATCAAATAAATGGGTAAAACATGATTAAAACTGTTACTAAGAAATATAATTCAGTTAGTTTTAATAAACCATAAAGAGGGAAGAGTCATGTTGCTGTGTGTTCATGATATACCAGGTCACTAGGTGGGAAATCCATAGTTGCCCATGGTTACTTAACTGGTAAATAATAATGAAGTTGAACTGGTACAGTTATAAAGGCTAAGAATGAGTGTTGGGGGAGATCTGGGATTCAAAAATAAAAACAGTAAATTACTCTTAGAGAATAATCTTGGTTACGTTTTTAATATCTTCACTATTGGTAGAGATGTTCTTATGTGTGGGACTTACTTTCTCTTTTGAGGAGCAGGAGAGGGCTATTTCTTTCTTTGATCACCGATTTCATTGAGTTGCTGTATTTTCATTCAAGAAGAGGGTATGAACTAATATCCACATTGAGTTATGATTTAGACGTGAGTATAGGACCAGGCAATGTTTCATTGTTATAAGATCACCATGAGTAGGAGCTGACTTGATGGCAACTAACCACCCTAATGGGAAATTTTTTAGTTGTGTGTGTGTGATAGTGTTTGAAATAAAATATCACATTGTTCATTAATGATTCTGCACCTACAGTATTTTCTCATAGCCTTTACTTCACCTTTTCAAGTTTGATATCCTGTCATTGGGCATGAACAACAGATTCACAGAAAAATATTTAATATATTGTCTTGGCTATTGAGGGCTGCTATAACAGAAATACCACAAGTGGATGGCTTTAACAAAGAGACGTTTATTCGCTCACAGTCTAGTAGGCTAGAAGTCTAAATTCAGGACATCAGCTCCAGGGGAAGGCTTTCTGTCTGTGTTGAATCTGGAAAAAGGTCTGTGTCATCGGTCTTCCCTTGGACCAGGAGCTTCTCTGTGCAAAGGAATGACTCTACTCCCGCCGCTGCTTTCTTGGTGGTATCAGGGCCCCAAGTCTCTCTGCTCACTTCTCTCTTTTATTACTCAGTAGAGACTGGCTTAAAACACAATCTAATCTTGCAGATTGAATCCTGCCTCGTTAACATAACTGGCACTAATCCTGTCTCATCAACATCACAGAGATAGGATTTACATAGGAAAATCACATCAGATGACAAAATGGTGGACAATCACACAATACTGGGAATCATGGCCTAGCCAAATTGATACACATATTTTTGGGAACACAGTTCAATCGATGACATATATTATTGAAGGAAAGTATATGTGACACTGTGAACTTTTATTCCAGCATTATTTTTAAAACGTTAATTACTAAGTTTTCTAGTAAATGATTTTTTAAAGAGAAGTTCATAATAGAGATTGATAAATCATGTTGTTGTTGTTAGGTGCTGTCCAGTTGATTCTGACTTATAGCGACCCTATGTACTACAGAACAAAACACTGCCCAGTCCTGCACAATCCTCACAACCGTCGTTATGTTTGAGCCCATTTTTGCAGCCACTGTGTCAGTCCGTCTCATTGAGAGTCTTTCTCTTTTTCAGTGACCCTCTACTGTACTAAGCATGTTGTCCTTTTCCAGGGACTGATGCCTCCTGATAAAATATCCAAAGTACGTGAGATGAAGTTTCACCATCTTGGCTTCTAAGAAGCATTCTGACGGTACTTCTTCCGAGGCAGATTTGTTCTTTCTTCTGGCAGTCCATGGTATGTTCAATATTCTTCACCAACACTATAATTCAAAGGCATCAGTTCTTCTTTGGTCTTCCTTATTCATTTTCCAGCTTTCTCATGCATGAGGTGACTGAAAATACCATGGCTTGGGTCAGGCACACTTTAGTCCTCAAGGTGACATCTTTGCTTTTTAACACTTTAAAGAGTTCTCTTGCAGCAGATTTGCCCAGTGCAATATGTCGTTTGATTTCTTGACTGCTTTTTCCGTGGGCGTTGATTGTGGATCCAAGTAAAATGAAATCCTTTACAACTTCAGTATTTTCCCCGTTTAGCATGGTGTTGCTTATTGTGAGGATTTTTGTTTTCTTCAAGTTGAGGTGTAATCCATTCTGAAAGCTGTTGTCTTTATCTTCAGCAGTAAGTGCTTGAAGTCCTCATCACTTTCAGCAAGTAAGATTGTGTAATCAGCATATTGAAGGTTATTAATGAGTCTGTGTCCAATCCTGATGCCCCATTCTTCTTCATATAGTCCAGCTTCTCGGATTATTTGATCAGCATACAGATTGAATAAGTATGGTGAAAGGTACAACCCTGATGTACACCTTTCCTGATTTTAAACCAAGCAGTATCCCCTTGTTCAGTTCAAACAACTGCCTCTTGGTGTATGTACAGGTTCTACATGAACACAATTAAGTGTTCTGGAATTCCCATTCTTCTCAGTGTTATCCATAATTTGTTATGATCCAAACAGTTGAATGCCTTTGCATAATCGATAAACACAGGTAAGCGTCTTTCTGGTATTCTCTGCTTTCAGCCAGGATCCATCTGACATCAGCAATGATATCCCTCATTCCACGTCCTCTTCTGAATTTATCTGGAATTTCTGGCAGTTCCCTGTTGATGTACTGCTGCAACCTTTCTTGAATTATCTTCAGCATAATTTTTCTTGCATGTAATATTAATGATTTTGTTCAATAATTTCCACATTCCATTGAATCACTTTTCTTTGGAATGGGCATGACTATGGATCGCTTCCAGTTGGTCGACCAGATAGCTGTCTTCCACATTTTCTTATCATAGACAAGTCAGCACTTGGAGCTCTGCTTTCAGTTCCTGTAGTGTTGTTTTTCATCAGTGCCTTCAGTGCAGCTTAGACATCTTCCTTCAGTACCATCAGTCCTTGATTATATGCTACCTCCTGAAATGGTTGAACAATGACCAACTCTTTTTGGTGCAGTGACTCTGTGTATTCCTTCTATCTTCTTTTGATGCTTCCTGTGTTATTCAATTTTTTTGCCCATAGAAAACCAAACCAAACCCACTGCCATCAAGTCGATTCCGACTTATAGTGACCCTGTAGAACAGAGTAGAACTGCCCCATAGGATTTCCAAGGCTGTAAATCATTATGGAAGCAGAGTGCCACATCTTTCACACACAGAGCCCTGGTGGTGCAGTGGTTAAGCACTCGGCTGCCAACTGAAAGGTCTGTGGCTTGAGCCCACCAGCTGCTCTAAGGGAGAAAGACGTGGCATTCATCTTCCACAAAGATTACGGCGTTGGAAAACCTGTGAAGCAGTTTTTGCGCATAAACCAAAAAACCAAACCTGTTGCCATGGAGTAGATTTGACTCAGTGACCCTATAGGACAGAGTAGAACTGCCCCATAGGGTTTCCAAGGAGCGGCTGGTAGATTCTAACTACCATCCTTTTGGTTAGCAGCCGTAGCTCTTAACCACTACATCGCCAGGTTTTGTCTGTAGAATCCTTAAATATTGCAACTTGAGGCTTGAATTTTTTCTTCAGTTCTTTCAGCTTGAGAAATGCTGAGTGAGTTCTTCCCTGTTGGTTTTCTAACTCTAGGTCTTTACACATTTCATTATAATACTCTACTTTGTCTTCTCGAGCAGCCCTTTGAAATCTTCTGTTCAGCTCTTTTACTTCATCATTTCTTCGTTTCGCTTTAGCTACTCTACTTTCAAGAGCAAGTTTCAGAGCCTTTTCTGACATCCATTTTGGTCTCCCCCTGCCGCTTTTGTCTTTTTAATGACCTTTTACTTTCTTCATGTATGATGTCCTTGATGTCATCCCACAACTCATCTGGTCTCAGTTATTAGTGTTCAGTGTGTCAAATCTATTGTTGAGATCGTCTTTAAATTCAGGTGGGATATACTCAAAGTCTTTCTTTCACTCTCATGGACTTTTTAAAATTTTCTTCAGTTTTTTGTTAAACTTGCATATGGGCAATTGATGGTCTCTTCCACAGTTGACCCCTGGCCTTATTCTGACTGAGGATATTCAGCTTCTCCATCATCTCTTCTCACAGATGTAGTTGATTTGTTTTCTGTGTATTTCATTCAGTGAAGTCCACAGGTACAGTCGCCATTTATGTTGTTAAAAAAAGCTGTTTGCAATGAATATGTCATTGTTCTTGCAAAATTCTATCATGTCATCTCCAGCATTGTTTCTGTCACCAAGGTCGTATTTTCCCACTACTGATCCTTCTTTGTTTTCAACTTTTGCATTCCAGTCACCAGTAATTATCAATGCATCTAATTGCATGTTTGATCGATTTCAAACTGCAGAAGTTGGAAATCGTAAGTTATATTTGGGGATAATTGGGACAACAAGTGGAAAAGAAAAGTAGAACATGTGTCCTCAAATTCATCTGTGTAATTTCCTACCTTTTCATTTGGAGGTATTTGTCAAATATATTAGTTGAAATTCACACAGGGTGAATTGGACTTGTAAAAAGCTACTAAAAGTTCAAGTTTTATATTTATATGAAGTTTTACATTGATATTAAATGTAATGTGAGTGAGCTTGCGTCATCTTGCTCAGTTCTTGCCTCCTCCTCAGGCCTCATTGCCCGTCATGATGCTGTCATTCTGTCTCCTTGTATATATAGCATAATGACTGGTTAGTGTTAGAATACTTTCAGTGGAAGGGGTCTTCAGAGATCCATTTAAAGTAGCAAATGGTTATTCAGATGTGCTTTAATTTTGGGTATATTGTTCTTTGTTTTGGTGGAATAGACAGCAATAAAGCTGGAGGAGTAAAATAGATAAGAGAGATGATTATTGTGTACTCTATGAAGGCATCGTTGGGATAATACATAAAAAAAACAAAAACACAGAAATCCACAAGAGTACTGCCATAGTAGTGATTTCATCTTTCTGTTTGTTTCATTATGCCTTGAAATCAGGTATCAGAATCAGTGTGTGAATGGGAAGCAATTGAGTCATTTGCCCTGAGTATTCAGACTCCATGTAAGTGAAGTGCTGAGTCTGGAGACCCTATATAAGTGAAGAACTATGTTTTATTTCAGAATTTCTCTTTTGAGAGGGATCATGAGCCTGTGAATTGTTATTATTGTTGTTACTAAGTGGCATAGATGAGAGGTTTAACCTAAGAAATGGTTGTTTAGAGTATACGTTCAATCAACAGGAAGGACATATATATATTGAAAATGCGTTCTCTGGTCTGAAAGTATTATCTGGAAACTTTCATTCTATTATTTGGAGTGTCTTCAATGGGCATTTACAACATTTGCTTGGGTACAGTGCTTATGGTTAAAATAGTCCGAAGTCTTAAGTTCTGTGTCTGGTTATTGTGTTGTGTTGTGCGGTAGTAATTCTGTAAGTTATTTATAATAAAAGCGAAAACACTGGAGAAATGATCTGTTGATTTTGCAACAAGGGAACACTGTTAAACTTCCAAAGTAGATTCAGAAGTTGAGATGTTCTGCCTCTCCCCCCACCCCAACATCCTGTTTCATCACAAATATTTATCATTTTATTCATCGGTTTTCTACGCGCCTTGTGGGCTGTTGTGGTTCCTGTCACTCTGCCAAGAGGGTTGGAGAATGCCTCTCCACAGGTAGCTTGGGGTATCTGGCTAGGGTGCTCAGAAGGTCCTGTAACCGGCTGACATTGAACTGTAGGCATTTGTTGTACCATTGAAGTAGATGTAGAGTAAGCCTGCTTCCAGCAGTTGCCAGAATCATCAATAACAGGCATCTTTTTACTAGTCGTAGTGAAAAAATACATACAGTTTGTGGTAAGAAAAAAACTAAAGTTTACATCATTTGGAGATGTTATTCTGTTGTGTTTTGGAAGTATCAAAATCAAAAAAGGAGAAAAATTACTATCTAAACAAAATCTCTATCTGAAAAGGCTGATCTTTTCGAGTGCTTGGTTAACAGTTTTGAAGAATGGTCTGGTTTACTTGAGAAGTTCATTTAGTATTAATTGTTTACTCACTTAAAAATATGTAATGTAATATAATGTAAAATATGGTATACAATAACATGACATGCTTCACTTGCTTCAGAAATGATTGATGTTTTTGAATTGTACTGGCCAGGAAGTTTGTAGACTGGGGTTATGGGTACTGGGGAATAACACAACAGGGGTGAGGAGCCTTTGTCATTACATTATTTTAGGGCGTTTGTCATATCAACATGACTTATGATTGGTGATGTTAACCTTCAACATTTGGTTATGGCAGAATCTTTCAGGTTTTTCCACTGTCAAGTTACTTTCTCTCTCTTTCATACTCTATTCTTTGGAAGGGAGTACACACATTTAGGGAAGAATTAAACTTCACCTCTTGAAGAGAGAGTATCTACATTTTATTATTTATTTATCCATTCATTTGTTATCAGTATGGACTTATAGATATTTATTTTATTCTTTAGGTTACCATCCAAAGCCATCATTATTTTCTTGTTCATAAACTCTTTACTTTTTAAATTTTATTTTGCTTAGCACTTCAGCATTGTATGTAGCTTGGTACAGCGTGCATTACCCACTTTTTTTTTGCATTTTCTTCCTGCACACTTTTACATTCTCATTCTTCAAACCAGTTGATTTAGTTTTGCTGCTCTGATTAACACTCAAGGTCATTTTCATAGTCAAGTTTTAATGTATGCACTGTGCGAGGAGAAATCATAATACAAAACTTCTTGTCAGCAGATTGGCGAATTTACCTGAGAAATTGAGACTCAGGATTATTAGAATGTGTGACTAGGACCAAAAGCAGGCTTCCAGGTAGGATATCAAAATTGTTTTCTTTAACTCGTTTGCATTTGATTTTGTAAAGTTCAGATCAGCATTTTATTAGGAAATGTAAAATCCAAAAAAGAGGGGATGGCATAGATATCGGGGTTGCATTAGAAAATCACTTTGCATTCCTTTTTTAGATTCTTTAATTTGACTTCCAAACGACAGGTTAGTAGCTGAGTTTTGAAATGAAATCACAGAGGAAGTTGCAGAAATATATCTATAATACTTGCAAAAAGTATTATGATTTTGATTGTTGAAACCTACTTGAAAAGTATTAATCAGAATATGAATAATACTAAGATTTATCATTTCAGAGAAACCAGCTACGGAGTATAGGGTGTTGTACGTGTTTCACAGCATATTTATTAAGTATGGACTGATTTACATTTTGCATGTCTTGTATACTCTCCTAAGATTTGATAAGGCCATGAACTCTGTCTGTTAGAACGGTTGGGGGAGGGGGGAAGAAAAGCTCACAGATAGCATAAGTGCTCAAGTTTTCACATACTGGTTTCACAAAAACGAGAATCAGTTTGCCAGCAGCTTCCATTATCTTGTAATCTTATGAGGAGCAGGTTAAAAAACAAAAAAGAATGTTGATGCAGAACATGAAGACAAGCAACTGAAAATCTGAAACACAAGTGGAGTTAATATTATGCAGTGGTTCTTACCTCTGCTATTGGAAGTATAAAAACAGTGTGATCCCGCCATCTAAACTACAGAGGTTTCAGCTCCATGGCAACACGGAGAACGTATTCTGTCAGAGGGTGTGTATATACAAATGCATTCAAAGCATGGGGTTGGGAGTGAGTTTGGGGGGGGGAAAAAGAAACAATACTCCAAGTCCTGCCCACACACTTTTATGTGTGCGTTATAATAAGGCCTTTGTGCCAGGAGCCAGATAGAAGTTCACGTCAGCTGCCCTCTGGTCTTTTACATGATCTAGCTGCCGTCACCGACCTCCCTTCTCTAGCCAGAAAGCAGGCAAAAGGCAATTACAGAATGCTGCTGTGGTGAAAATGCTCTTCCTCCTCTGTCTTTTTGGAACGTCAACATAGTTATTGCTTTCCTGTGTGTCTCTGGGGGCATTCTCCTGCTGCTTTGCATGGTTTTATTCTAGAGAGAGCTTTCAAATTGTAGTCTTCACATTGTGTGGGGGGTCAGGAAAGCAGTAATCACCTCCCTCCTCTGGGGAAAGGAGGGCTTTCTGTCTGTCATCTCGTCGCCTTCCTTTTATTTAAGGACCATGCTGACGCACGTGGCTGGAGTGACTGGTGAATTAAGTATTCCTGCCCACCATTTCTCAGCCTCTGGCTCAGCTTGGAAACTTCAGATTTCTTCTCCCGCTCAGGCTTCACAGCGACTCATTTCCATCAATACCACCAGTCCTTTGCTTAGTCCCTTTATCCTGAAGAAATAATCTTACTACTTGACTATTTATTATATGCCCATGTTTCTGTCCTGCACCTTAGAAAAGATAGACCAATATGAAAAATGCTTATTTTTGCTGTACTCAGTTTAGCTGGTCTGGTAGATGAACTGAATGCCCTGCTCTATCCTGGTTAACTCTGAGAACAATTGCTAATAAGTTTTAGACTATTTATTTATTTTTATATTTTATTGTACTTCAGGTGAAGGCTTACAGAACAAATAGTTTCTCATGAAACAGTAGTACACGTGTTGTTTTATGACATTGGTTAACAACCCCACAGCATATTAACCCTCTAACTTCTCAACTTTTTTTTTTGGTGAAGATACTCATAGCCAAAGATACACCGTTTCAAAAATTTCTACATGCACAG